TCGGTAATGCGTGGCAAATTAGTTAGAATTTGATTCATTACAAGTTTTTCATTAAGGTTCACTCTTTACAAAAGTTCATGGCATCCTATGACCTCTGCCCAACCTCGTACTTTATTTCATTTCACCATAAACAATCAGATTTTAACTCTTCGTAATTAATTTGAAAAAAGTACAAGAGTTACAATTGAGAAAGAACAAAAGTGACAGTGTGGGGGGTCAATACTCGGTTGCAAACAAATGAACGAAATCTCCTCCATTTCACACCTGCTTTCTGCAAAATCAGAATAAGCATGCCTTTCTCCCCTCGCCCTCCGTTTTGAGAATAAAAGCTATTTAAAACCGCTGCACGAGCTACGAAGTATTGCAAAACACTTTTTCTAAGTTGTAAGTATAGAAAAGTGTATTTTCAATTTACGCCTACGCACAGGCAAGATTAGAATTCACTCATCTATTCTCCTACCCATTCTCTCTCCTCTATTCACTCCTTTAGACTTGATTTTTCGAAATGTTCTACTCGAGTTGCAATGTCATACAAATTTTTCAGAATTCTTGACCTTCCCCAGAATTGAAATACTCCCTTCCTTCTCCCCACCCCCTCTCCTTCCTCCATATCCTTGATGGAAATTTTCCAAAGTTACAAATCATAGGAAAACTGCAAGAAACCCACTTCGTAAATTTTCGTAAAAATTTTTTTTTCGAAATTCTGCACCTAACCGGTGTCTCCACCCTCCTCTTTCGTGAGCCTCCTCTCCCTCCTCTCCGGGCCTCGAGACTGAGAAATTTTTGAAGTAACCTATGCGAGTTACAGATTTTGAGGGCTTTATTGCTTGTATTTACTTTGATTATAAGCGTTTTCTTTTGAAATTCGTAAAAAATCATAGCAGCGCTTAAGTACATGAATCACAAATACTTTGAAGTTAATGAAAACCTAAAAACTAAAATTTTGTATAGGTTTCAATTCTAAAAGTTGTCAGCCCAGGCCCAGTTTGTGAAGGCCCACTAGCCGCGGTTACCGTATACCTCGCAGTCCACGCCCATAAACAACAATGCGCAATGTCCCTCCCAGAATGGCTGTGACCCGCCCCAAATAGCACGACAATCATCCCCGATGGTCCCGGCTGTCCCGTCGAGGGCAGAACTACTGCTGGGTGTTGACCAGTGGATCATGGGCCATTGCTTCAGCTGACCACGGCTGTGAAGGCCTGTTCGCTGTGTTCCATACGATGATTTATCGTTGTTTTTCTGAACGTCACCCACTCAGCTGAGTGATGGTCGCACAAGCTTCTGACTTTCCCACCTTGCTGATGCACTCGTTGTCAGGATAATCAGTACTTTTTGCTAGAAACACCCTTACTCTGCTTTGAAGGGGATTTTTTGGCTCCTTGTGCTTCAAGTACTTATGCAAGATGACCCTCAGAATTGCTTTGAAGAGATTAGGTGATGAGGAAAGTTTTCTTTGGAGTAGGAGGATGGACAATTAATCTAGATATAGACTCATAGTCGTTTTTCATATCCAGCATGCATAAATTATATAGAAAATTCTAACTACAACATTCATCTATAACAACATCTATAAAAATGTACTTAAGATTTCAGAACGTATCTCTATATATGGAAAAGTTCAAAACTCGATTTCACCTGTAAATGCTCAAAACACTTATTTTTAAATTTTCTTGAAATATAAAAATGAAGTAGAAACACTTGTATTACCCGATAAAGACTAGAGCTGCAACTCCACCAGTTTACATACATGAAAACATGTATGTAAGCCTCAAAGCCTTTGTAAAAGCCTTTTCATTTTCGTGGCTCATTTCGGGTCATAACCTAGGCTTGTCACTCAGATTTATCAGTAATTCCCACAAAGTTGATCTTACTTTGAATAATTTGTATGTCGGACCGTCTATGCTAAATATAGCGTCTTTGCATGGCTTAGAATCTATGAAATGAGCAAAAAATGAGGGGAGGATTCTAGACTTATTTTCTTTCATAAATATCTGGAAAAAGTGTTTGATGTGAGATCAAAACTAAAGAACTAAGCCTAGAGAAAAGAATCCAGAAATCAAAGTTGAACTGCTAAATTTATTTTATCTCTGGATGCTTTTCGCTATCGATCTCTAAGCATTTGAAGGCAAATTTATTCTGCACTTTATATGAAAACCACACATTTGGCCGTGGGTGACATCGCTCTAAAATTTGCTTTCCTTGCAAAGGCAGTGGAAAAACTTACAGTATTCAGGTACCTTCGCTCATATTGGGCCTAGAGGCTTTATCTCGGGAAATTTCGAGGCGCCTCAAAATTTCTTCTGATGTTATCGCACCCAGCCACGATCGAGGTCGAAGTGAGGACAATACAACGGGGCTGCAGCACAAGCATACGTAGAATGGGTTCATATGCGCGAAAAACGAGGAGACCATTTACGGGATTTACATAAACACGACACGCACTATTAGCTAGGGCATAGGCACGCTCTCACACACACACCGACACATACACATACACACGTTTCGCTCTATTATTAAACATCATTGATATCCAGCAGCATAGCAGCGTCTCTCTCGTCGTTCTTCATGAGCCAACAATCAGGTCAGGCACGTTTTCTAGCGCCCCTGCATGCGCCAGCGCTCAAGAGCTGGGCTCCTTCATTGCTTGTATATCATTACTGTTATGTCATTTTTGCGCATTTTGGCTGCGCGATTCTGGTCGAGATTGAAAATTGTTAAAAATATGGGTACCTTGGTATACTTCCAGGCTTAGAGGTGATTTTGGTGATGTCTGTAAACTGCGTAAAGTAATAAAGTTGCATCAGTACGGTAAGTGAAGTTGTCTCGACTTCTGAAGTCGTGGCAACTCCTGCCCTAGTCTCCACCTACTTTCCTACCCTTCTCCACCTCCATCTCCCATTTTTCACAAATGACCTACCATTCCCCCCAAGCTATCCCAAGCCGTAAATTCCATATAACGGTAAAAGCGCCCCAGCTCTCTCCCACACTATACAATCGTGAAAGTGCCGCAGCCCCGCAAAACTGCTTTCGTAATTTCGTACATGAATGTATCGCTATTCTCGCTCTCGGTGTGCTGGACACGTAACCGCGCCTGCAGGCGAACTTTGCCAGTTTTCGCGCCGAGGTGGCTCACCGCCACCACCGCCTTCGACGGTGCTGGTAGTACGGTGTGTGTACTTGTGCGTGAAGCCCTATTGTTATGTCTGCTCGTAGATCACTTTGTCGTCGACGTGGAATTCTTGTACGGAACTTCCGCGCTGATTCTGATGCACTTACACATGCACAGCGAACCCGACGACTTACTCACACCTTCGCGTTTTTTTGCTGCTGTAGTTTGTTTCTCTTGCGCTATACTACTGTGATACTTCGCTAGATGTCTTGACCCCAGCGAGACTTCCACGGAACGACGATGTGGGGGCATGCGTCAGATGTCATCGATGTGCTTTCTCGTCTTTTGTGCTAATGTAGTGAATAATTCTCGAAGAGCTGCTGCTGTCAGAGTGTGTCAGGCGATACGCATTAGGGGTGAAGCAATAATCAAAGCACCCGCACACACGGCACGGCTTCCATAACGAACACCAGCGCAACATGCAGCGAGCTGGAACTCTCTAGCCCCCGGCTCGCGCGCGACCCCCCTCCACGTCCTCCACCCCGTCGTCGTCGACTGCCCCCCGATAGCCCCCACCCCGGCAGGCCGGCGCAGCACAGCTTTAGTCTCTCTCGCCAACACCGCGCTATTTGTCGACGCGTGTGATATGGTGTTTTCGAACATTCCACAGTTTTCAAACTGGAAGTCCATCTCCTTCTGGATCTCATGTTATCTTCAGTTCAGATGGGTTTTTGCTCTTTACTATGCAACATTCATGTCTGTTTTATAGATGCTCATTTGTAGCAAATTTTTCACTTGGCTTTATTTTGAGATGATAGTTTCATGCGCTATCCTTCTTCCTACCTCAGACTTTTATAGAGACACATCTCAAAAGAAAATGGAACCTTTTTGTACCATTTTGATAATCCCCATACTTCAGTTAAATTATAGTAATTCCTATACATAAAATTATAGTAATTCCTATACATACTAAAAATTTCATAATCCTCATTCGCCCCTCAGCAGAACTCTGTAGAGGAAATCTAAAGACATTCATTGGCAATGATTCTAACAATATCATACGATTTATTGCTCGAGGGTCTAGAATTTTTGCAATCATCTGCTTCTGTAAATTACCATTCTGGTTTTCCTCCTGCTTAGCCTGTACTAAGATTACATATCTACAGTAGGGACTTCATTATAAAGACATTTATTGACAATGATTCTACCAATACCATACGATTTATTGCTCAATGATTTAGAGTTTGAGAATGACCAATTCTTCCGAAACATCTAAACACTTTAGCCTATCCAACTTGTACCATTTCGATTCCTTCTTGACGAGTTTCCTGTTCACATCAAGGATTTTATCTGTTCTAAATTTATTTCGTCGCAAGAGGTTCATAAACCTCTCAAGCTTTGCGTAATAATTTCTCGAGTCCTATTGTGCTGTAATTGTAAAAGCAACAGAGGTTAAAACACTGTTTTCCTTATCCAGTATTGTAAGGAGTTAAGGGAAAATCAGAAACTGCATGTGACATAGGGTTCAGAATTTTAATACATATAGCCATGAGTATAATAGGTCCTAGAATGAGTGATAGTGCATGTAATGGCACACTTTCAGAACTACAATAATCTTCAAAGTTCTTCACAGAAAAAGAGCTGAGGTGGCTAGAGTACTTTGCCAGTATCTACTCTGAGCATTATTGCGACTGGCTAGTAAGCTGCAAACTCCCCGACAGTTATGTGTTAGCTCACTGTTGTTCCAGCTCACTTCAGAATTTTATTTCGATCGTCTAGATAATGTGTTGATCTCCATTCATTTTCGCGGTCACGCCAACTTCGAGTTTTAACCTTGTTCTTGTGATACCTGAATAAACCCTCCACACCACTAACTCTCGTCCATTCCAGGATGTGTCGGCGGTAACCGTGCCCCAGCCCGACGTGCAGTACGAAATGGCCGACGCAGCGGGACAGCACGTTCTGGTGAGCCTGGCGGCCGTTGCGTTGCCGTTACTTGCGTTTTAGTTTCACGCGCCGGCCGAGTGGACATGACTGGTTGCTGTATTTGCTGCTCATTGCGTATGCGCCGCGACGGAGAGTTGATCCTCGAAGCGGTCAGAGGCACGAAACTCGTTCCCCTCGTCCAGCGTCGCTGCTATCACCGCCGCCGCACCCATGTGCCACCACCGCCATCACCATCATCACCAGCATCACCGCCTGCTTTGACTCTCGTCATTCTTTCGTAGGCTCAGCTTTTCAAAGTCATTTCAATTTTTCTTTGGCACCGGTCCTGAACAGAACCCCTTTGCCTGCACCAGCACCACCATCATCATCAACCATCATCACCGCCTGTTTTGACTCTCGTCACCTTCGTAGGTTTCCCAAGCCTTTTCTTCTTTTCGGGAACTAGCCATCCTGAGAACTACCTTACCTCCATTACCACTACCTCCTCCATCACCATATCACCATTATTATCACCACCATCACCACCACCACCGCCACCACCGCCACCACCGCCACCACCGCCACCACCTCCACCACAGCCATCATCACCATTGCCATCTCTATCACTACCGTCACCATCACCATCACCACCACCATTACACCCGCACCAGCTTCACCTTTTCAGATTCTCGTCATCACCCCGCTTAACCTTCTCACTAGTGCTCTTGCTTGACAATATAGACATTTCAAACTACCTAACCCCGGCAAATTATCAACTCGTAAATTCTACCACTCCCACAGCTTGTAGGATAGCTTATCGTAGTGCGATTTGCTTTTCTCCGAAACGAAGTGCCGTTTAGATGATTGTAATCGAAGCAATATGACTCAACTCTTACGTTTATGGCAGTTTTCTGGAAGGATTCCCGTACAACTGCAAGGCACACTTGGTGCTAGAATGGCTTAGTCAGTTTCTCCAGGGAAAATTCAACTTCCACAATGTTCACCAGAAGGGACTTTCAGATCCGTACCGAACTGCAGCTTCACATAGGGTCATAGCTCCAAGCAAAACATGGGAGCTAGCGTGAATTGACTTGAATTAGCTTTCCAGAACCAATGTTCAAAGACCTTTCAGAGTCGTTGGCTAGGAGGAATTCTTGTAAGATCTTACGCTTTCAACTCATGAACAAATGGAAAACCTTGGGAAAAGATGTTACAACGCCTTTTTAGCGCTGCTATTCACCCATGTCATACTTCGGATCCGCTAAAAATATTGGTTTAATCATGATTTTGGCTGGAATTTTTGCTAGGAGGGAACCTTCAGACTGTCACGTTATTGTAGACAAATCCCAAATCTCAGCCCTGGTCTTGCTTACAATATCCATCTATCATTGAAAATCAAGTCGCCAAATTCGCTTACAATCCAAAATCATGCTAATTTGAATATTCGGGTGTTATTTGCTGTAGGTGTAACTATGAAAGACATTAATAATTTACAAATGAGTCACCTTTGTTATTTCGGTTTTTTCAATGGAAATTATTCCAGCTTCGTCTGAAGCATAGCGACCTTTTCACTTTCACCATTTAATTCACATTTGTGCGATTTCACTAGTGTAACCCCCCTAATTGTATATTTTTTGATCAGAAGCGATGCAGTTGTTAGAACTCCATATGGACTAGCTAAAAAGTTTCGGATGCACGATGAGTCACAGCCACTTTGCCAAAGTTTGCTCTACCCTGCTACTGGATCGGGTTCTTTTGTCCGGTGACAAAACTGTTGTAGCCGCCAGCGGCGATGTCTGGGTGAGACGGTGGTTCGTTCTCTAGCCATAAGCCGGACAGGCCGTCCACTCTCATTTTTTGCCGAAGTGCTCGTCACAGCTTCCGGCCCTACCAGAACAAGATCCTCTCGTAGTTCATAGCCGGCACAACTCGGTCGCAAGACGCAGCAGCGCAAACATTCAGCTGTGGGTCTATTTTTATCCGTCAACGGTCGGCCGGCCGCCTGGACTAGAGGAGGTCTGTGTTTGAGGAAATTTGGCACACTCCGGGGGCTAGTTGCTCTTGAAGCCGGAAACGTTCTGTTGTCAAGAGGGGAGCCCCGCTCGATTGGTCAAAGAACTTTAGTAGTTGGATGAGGGATACTGTACCTCTCAGGATCGGGTACATGGTCAAGCTTGGCAGATCTACCAATTGTCCAATATAGGTTAGCACTATTTTTTCACAAAATTCCAGGCGATATGGTATCAAGCTCCTTAAGCTACCCACCTCCTTATATGGGTGCATTTATATGCTCTGGAGCAAGTAGACTACCCAATCGGGCATACTGTAGCAAATTCTCTCTTGCCCACTTTCGCGCCCATGCAACCAGCTCTCTCTCGTCCGCGGCTTCTCCCAAAAGTGAACGTGGCCATCATCAGCACCGATGACCAGTCGGCAATACAAACAACAGCTATTTGAAGCGATGATGCTGCTGAGATCGGGCATGTGAGCCAACATTTACGCATTCTCGCACACACCACATTCACGTAGTTAAAAATAGCAGCTCGAGTCATTGTGCATGTGCCGAATTCTGTACGACGATGACCGTGATGTCGGCTGCCCAAACAGAACCACCACCTATCCCGTATGGTCCCTTCGGGTGGTGGCGGCGGCGCTCAGAGTGCGCCCGTCCGCGTCCATGCGTCGGCGGGCGCTCGCAGTGACCCCGATGCAACTAACCATCCTGTTTCGTCGGCGGCTCGAAATAACTATGAGCTGGTCGGAAAAAGCCGTGAGGACCGGTTCCGTGCCGCCGCGCCGCGTCGCCCCGGTGGACTACGAACTGCACGAACGCGAAAACCGACTAGCCACTTGCCGAGGACACAGCTTAGCCCCGCCTCGAATTGTGTGTGCGGCGACCCAGTTCACACTAGCCGCTTACTGACTGGTTACTATTAGCCTCGACCGGGACCAGTTCAGAAGATCCTGCTTCTTTCGGGGGGCGCTATGGCTCGACGCGGCTTGTCGGAACGCTCGCCGCTCTCACGGCGGACGTTTCCACTATAGTGGAGGGTTCTGTTCTTTGTCGATGTGAGGCAACAGCAGAATGGGATACATCTTGATGATGAACGGCGGGATGTTCGGTCCCGCCAGGTACACGGGGAGAGGGAGGAGCTTCGCTAAACAGTGGGGATCTTCGAATTGAAGCCTCTGTCGCAGTTATCCACTTTTGGAAGAATTTGGCAGTCTTGACCTTCAAGACTCTTTAAGTACACCCCACTGCCTTATGTTTTCGAGAATTTTTTTCAATACATGGGATCTGATTACGATTTTTTCTCAACTTTTTCAAGATCTCAAAAACTGCATGGAGTGGTAGTAAAATGTGTAAAAATTCATGTAAAATACAATATCTGCTTATTCACTCGCTCTAGGACATCTCGGTAACTGCTTAATTCACTTTATCGCCCTCGGATAAATTTTAAAAAAATCTCATAAAAATAGATAAAAATTACGAAAATCCCCACAAAACCTGGTCTTCGTTTATTTTTGTAAGGCCTTTTTCGAAAATTCTCAGCTCAACGCATAAGCTCGACTGCCAAAAGATGCGAGGCAGAAGATGCGCCAAAATCTTTCCGGCAGCGCCTCTATGTCCTCTTCTTGAAATTCCACTTGACTGCCTAGGAATCGCGGCTTTGCTCTCATTAGCCACATCTCCTTGGATTTAATTTTCCCGCCATGCAACCACAAAGAAGCGACGAACCCTCAGTGGAGATAACGTGATTTTGGCTGTTGACGACGTCTACCACAACGGGCACTCACTGCACACCTACTCATCCAAAACACCCGCATCACACGGATACTGTAGCTCTGACTAGCTAGCTACTTACTTTATGAGGGTAGAGGGAGAGTCCCCAGCCATGTTTGGACACTTTTTCTGCTTTGTTGGTCTTGTGCAAAATTGCTTATAAGGGTGTTTTGTGTAAGATCCGTGCTCCTAGATATGTAGTTATGTAGTTATTATGTAGGTCTATTTTTATGAGCTAGTTTTGTCAGGATCACCACTCTAATATTCAACCTGAAAATCATGGCAGGAAATTCTGGGCACTTCTACCGTTATTTTTCACTACAATTATTGATATAAACAATCATTGTAAGCTTATAGTAGAAATTTGGAAGTTTTTGCATCATTGTATATTGTGACGCAAGTTTCGTTAATATTGCCTTACATTACCAGGCTACTGATGTTCTTGTATTTAACGTTACCAAAAAAGCTTGTCAAGAATCTAAATGTGCCTTTCAAATTGGCTTGAGATTTTCTACCTTACCATGAAATTTTGAATGACTACTGATAGGACGTCACGTTGACCCAAAAAAGGATCTACTGCTGAGATTAGTAGTAAAGCACAGTTTTACAATTTTTTAAAGCAACAGTTAATGGACCCTGAAATCGTTCAATCCATGCCAAAGACGGATACAGAATTTCTTTTTCAGACCACCCATTGAACATTTCCAAATTAGCTGAGAAATCCTCTCCCTGCGCTAAGGATTGCTAGGTCAGAGCTTGTCGAGGCTAAAAGCGATTTCATCTCACAATCACAGACACGTCTCTCCAATCTCTCTCGCTCCTCTCGCGCCCTCCCGTTGCAGTTCAAGTTTATGCTTCGACCAGATAGCTGGTTCGGATAAGATCGCCACTTAGTGCTGACCGCGCCACCTCGTCGAACTTCGCTTAACTCATCTACAGCTAGCTTCCAGCTCAGCTCGCTCTACTGCTCACTGCGTCCTACGGCATTATTCAACAGCTCGGAATCGGTTCAAAGCGGCGGCCATGTTAGCCAGCTGTTTGGCGCTGACCAGTCGGCTGGCGGCGGGTTAAAGTGCACGCGGGATCCGGCTGTGGGACCGGTTTCCCGCAAACGGCTGTGTGTGCCCGAGCGAGCGCGAACCCTCGCGCGGCCGAGCGGCGCGTCCAACACCCCGGAAAAGGTGTGATACCATCGCAAGAACACGGAAATCACTCTTCAAATCGGCTTTCGAGAATGCAAAAACGCTAGCCTTTTCATATCGCGCGCAGGGCACCGAGCGCCTCTCGCGCGCGCTTCTTGCCGTCCCGGAATGATGACACCGTATTGCTAGTGTGGACTCTATATTTGTCAGAAATTTTCCTGACAATCAGCTCTCTCGTTCCATGCTCGCGACGCACGCAGAAATTCGTACTATTCCGGTGCGATGCGCGTTTCAGAATCGCTCTACGATAACAGCGCAAACATTGGACGCAGCTATGTGCCACCACGACACTATTTTTGGCTGATCGTCATTCATTCAGTACTCGTCGTATTCTAAACGAGGACCAAACATGGGCACTGAGACCGCTTCTGTAATGGGATGCATATCTTTTTTTTTTCATTTTACAGCTCTCAATTTACACAATTTTTCGAGAAAACTCCCTGACTCCTTATCACTTTTACATCTTTTGCATCTTCAACCCCAACAAAAAATTTCAATTCACACATCGTCGTCGCTCGCTCGTCCATTTTATCATCGCTTCCATGAAATGATTCTAATCGTATATTCGCGTCGTACTATGAATGCCTTTGGTCACATTTAGTGATTCAGACATTCCCGAGGCTCACCACACACCCTACGTCACGACAAGCTATGGTGAGAGGCTATTTATGTATAATATGTGAAATCAGTATCTATAATCGCCTGGAGGTTCTAAGCCAAGCAGTCATCATACTTTTATACATTACTATGAAATATTTGTAGCAAATACCACTATGCTACCAAAATATTCACTTACAGGCCTGCAGAACCGGCCTATAACATTGTATTTCTATAACTAGTGCTAAAAAATCTTTGTAAGTATTATTTGGACAAAAAAATCCATTTATAAGCTCTGAACAACCGACTCCTATTGTATGATTTTATTCTTTCTGATAAGCTTATCTGTAATTGCTCTAATTAATTAGAGAAAGGCTTCAGACTGTTTTGAAGTGGCAAATCCTTATGATTGAAACGTCCAACATGCGACAAATTTTTGTAGACATTTTCTAGAAAAATTTTCAGAATTTTTTATAGAAATTTTCTTAGAAAAATTCTATCAAAAATACGCGCGAGCCCTAAAGATCAATACGAACCAAGAAACAGAGAGGATTTTTGAGCTCAAAATTCTAGTTGAAAATGCAAATAAATCCAACAAAGAGCTTTCTCAAAAATTAAAGATCAAAACATGTCTTGAAAATTTTTGAGAATCGCCCTTCAGCTGGAATGTTAGTTTTGTGAAGTTTCAAAGAGCCTGATTTTCAATGTATAAAATTTGGCTAGTTTTACTGATTTTGAAGCTCTTAATAAATTTTTTCGGAGGATTTCGTACTCATCTCGTAGAAATAAACTATTCTGAATTTTACCTGATTTGTAATTGATTTGCATTAGATTTTACACTTTGCAATTTTATGAAATTTGAACCATTAATTTGTATATTTTCTAATACTTGTCAGTTATTTTTTGAATAAGTTAGTAAAACTCAGCTTGCAAATTGTAGATTAGGGCTCAATCTCAGCAAAGTTGGTTCACTTGTAATTTTAAACCTTATGATCTTTTGAGAAAGCTGTTTCTAGAAAGTTCGTTCTAAATCCATTGTAAAATCCTATCCAGCAGTGCCCCTTGTTTGAACTCTTCGCGCGAATCGTAAGACTTGCTTTGGCTGTGCTGAGTTTTTTTCGGGCACTTGATGCGATTTTTTCCTAGCTTAGCCATCGTTTCTTCGCCTTGTTTCTGGGTCAGCTAATGCCAGTGCCACCTCCGGCGGCCCGTTCTACCCCGTCCATGTGTGAATGTGGACAATGTGCCCGTGGTGGAACACGTTTGGGTGGCGACAGCAGAGAATTTTTTCCTCGTCATTCTTTGTGAAACCCGCTCCTCTTATTGGTACATTCATGCCGGCCATAGGGACGAGTCGCCTCGAGGGTCGTCGTAGGCACTGTCCGCTTCTGCACCGCCACCTTCCACCACCTACTGCATTTCACGGCCACTCTGTTGCTATACAGTCTTGTTGTCACGGTCACTGTCCATGTGTCCGTCCGTCCCCGTCCGTGTGTACGGTGTGTACGATCGGTGCTTGTTACAAAAAAACGCCTGACGAGTTTGTTGTTATTGTACTATTGTGTGCGAGTGTGTGCTCACTAGTCGCCTACTGGTTTCTGCCCTCGCGCACCATTCCCCTGCCCCCCAACCGAATTGCGCTGCTTCTGGCTCTCTTGCGCCGGTGTTTTGGTCTTTTAAAGCGCTCATCCCTCATCTGTTCGCTTTCTTCGCTTCATCTCTGCTTCTTCTTGCGACCGATTCATGCTACGCGAGACAAGCAAACACCTTGTGGCCATCCCCCGTTGTGTTTGTCCTCCATGTTTCACTGTTCTTGCACCACTCCCTTGCATTCCCGCACCCATTCTTCTCTTCCTATCTTCGTTCAAAAAACCTCTTTCATCTTGTCCATTTCTACAAACGCAAAGCATGTTTGGTCTATCGATGTTGCCAATTCTAACATGTAGTCCCAACATAGTTTGTTTATTTCGTGGTAATTTCAAGAACTAATTCAGCTACCATTTCATTAGCTGACAAGCTGCTAGAAAATAATTTTGGACATCTTGTTGGCTTGCAAAAAAGTTGCGAACGAATTTTTGGTATAACGTTTGTATCTCAGGGTTTGGGAGAAGAAGAGGGGAGGAAGCTGAGGGTCCTTCCCGCAAAAAATTTTTACTAAATGACATAAGTTTTGTGGAGATCTGTATGCCGGCAGGAAATTATTATTTGACCAACCCAACAGACAGAATGTTCCCCAACCATCCACCCATCCATTCATTCTATCCATAATGTCCTCACATATAGAGACAAAATTCCAAAGATTGAAGATTACATTCAAGTCGCAACCCCCTGCACCCCTCCCCCCTCCTCTCCACGAAAATGCAAAATTTAGTTGCATCTTACGTTATCGTACGCAATCAATGTGGTCACACATGGAAACGTAGAGTTAATGAAAAAGTACGTAACCGCTTACGAAGAAAAAACGTCTGACTACGAACTCTACAGGCTATCGATGAAAATTTTGCAGTAGCGGAACTTTCCTGCATGCTCTGAGGTTACTCTTTTCCCTTTTGTTCTTCCACAGCTCTATGCAAGACTTTGGCCATTTCTGGCTGGAGATGCTCTACAGTTATGTTTCTGACCCATTGCTCCGCTCCCAGAGGTCACATTCCGAAAAATGACGGCACTGGGGGCGCTTGCGCGACGACGACCGCAAACGAACGGGAACAGGATTTCGCTAATAGCTCGCAACGAATCCGGCTGGCACTCTTCCACAAAGCCTCCTCGCTTGGCCTTGACACCAAACCCCCAAACGAAGAGCTGCCTCTCCTCGCAGCAGCCGAAATATCAGAGCGTAGAGCGTAGGTTAACGGGTTCAGCGCTTCAGCCCTGTTACGTACGCGCACCAAAGCTCCCCCCCCCCCCCCCGCGTAAATTCTCACCTCGCCAGCGCGAACCCGGACTTTAGCGCTTGTAGCAGCCGCTGGCCGCGGCGACCCTCGGGCGCTGGCGCTAGTGCTAGCCGGCTGCCCGGCCACCCGCTGCTTGTGTCACTGTCACAGTACGATTGCGCAGCGCAACTCAACAAACTGGTTGTCCGTTGACCGTCCACAGGCTAATGCGCTTTCGTGCGTAGATCAAATCTCTCCTCTCTCACTTCTCCGTTCCGCTACGTAAAGCTGCCGATTCCATTGTGTTGCCCAAGCGATTTCGTTCGGCTTTAGCTCATCTCTGGTGCAGGTAAAGCCGGACGGCTGAACTTTTTCACGCGCTCCTCTAGGTCGATCTTCTATGCGTTTGGCATTTTCAATATGCAAAAGAAAAAAGTCACGATTCCTACCTCATTCTTTCAACTCTCTACCTCATTCTTGGAAGAAAATTAGAAAAATAAGAGTGTAGCTAGTTTAACTCTATTCTTTTTGATTTTTTGAGAGCTCAAGCTTAAGCTCACTTCATTTCTAAAATTATTATCTAAACTATACTCGAACCATTCGCTATATAGGAAGTTGAATAACAATCGTAGAGCTTCAAGAAATATTTCTAGAAACCTAATGAATCTCTAACAACTATCGATGACAACTGACAAACTAAACCCATTTTCCTTTGAAAACTTGAAAACGGACGAAAACTTTTCTAAAATTTCTATTAGTGCAATCAAATATTGGAAGCTGGCATATCAAATTTTATGCAAGTTTTACTAGGCTGATTTCTTTGAATGCATATTCATAGATGCTGGCAGAATTTGTGCCTTTGATTCAGATGAAGTTCTTATGCTCGAAGTTTATTATTGAGCTATCGCCTTGGAATTTCATGAATTTCGAAATCTGCCATACTTTCTTTACACTATAAGTCATAAGATGAGTTTTTATTCAGTTTACTGATTCTATTAATTTCAATAGCATTAATTTCATTTGCAATATGCGCATCTTTGGAGAAATTCCTACAAAAGATTCGTAGCACAAAACTTCAGAAAAGCCTGTCCAGCTATAACTCTTCCACAAAGTGCTTCTAACATGGCAATTTGAGAATCCAGGCAAAACCTTTTCATTCTCGAGATGCGTTCTCACTTGACGTACACACCCATCCATCGCACCGCCACCAGCACCACTTTTTCGTGAATCGAAGAAACTTAGAGCTAAAAAGAAAACCTGAAGCGATGCCTGTCCAGAGAGTCGCTGCCTATGTGTGTCTTTTGAAAATGTCTCTTCCGGTCGAGAACAGCAGCAGCAGCAGAACTTGGAGCTATGTGAAACAGAGACCGGTCTGCGCGTCCATGTTCTTGGTAGCCGGCGCACGGGCGGTGTAAGCGCTCGCGCAAGCACTTGCCCTTTTTTGCGCGGCTTCTTTTCTAGCTAGCGGCTAGCAGAGCAGCGCCAGCAGCCAGCAGCGCACGGCACCGGCCGACGATGCTGAAGTGCGAGTCGTGGTTTTGTCTCCGCGTTTGACAGTTCGCTTGAACACTCTGTTTACTTACAGACACTCGGCGACGTGCCCGCCATCGGTGTGGAGTCGAGCCGAGTGGACATCAGCAGACAGTTGCCTCACCTGCCCACTCCGTTCAACCCGGCCGTCATGGCCGCCCAGCTCGGCATGTTCAGCAACCCGCAGCTGCTCAACATGATGCAGGTAAGTAGGGGTGCCTTCACCCTTCCATGACCTCTATCCTCTTGTTACTCTCTCCTCCATGCCATAATTTACACTAACCCTTCCGCCACACAGGGACAACACCCTCTTTCTGTCATAAAATAACTTCTTTACCCTTTTCTCCTGTCTTTCTCCTTCTGAGCTAGCTTTTCGTTCTCAGTTCATATTTTTCTAGAGGTAAAATGTAAAACTAAATAAAAACCAAATAGATTGAACAATAATTCTCTTTGAACCATCTTCTCACTTTTTCCAAACACTGCTCCCTTTACGCATTTACCAAACCCTCCATGAAGTCTAGCTATGCCTGCGGAACTGAAGAAAAAACTGAGGATCATTTGTGTGGCACGTGAGATCAAATTCAATTTTTCAAAGGAAAGATATGATCACACATTGGCGGATTGCCAAATGATAGATTAAGCGAAGAATGCTGAAACAATAGGGCTGATCCAACGCTCTATGGATGATGACCTAAGCTTTTCAGTGGAACACCAGCTCGGCGCGATTCTTCCCAATATTTTTTGTAAAATGATGACAAAATTTTGAAAAAGCGTCAGCAAGCCGGCAGCCTTATTAGATGCGTAGATTCGTCGTTGTAAGCTCGATCCATTGAATGTCAATGGTCACTAAAGCAAAAAATGTTGTTTAAAACACTGACGCAACCACCTGTCATAACTTTAGCATGGAATTCTAATAATTCATCATGCGCGAATGTTTTTTTGGCTTACACTACATAATGTTGTGAGAGAAACCAAAGCATGTACAGCTGTTAAGGTTTAGGAAATAATATGATTTAGAATAAAACTTTCGAGGCTTGTCGTAAGCGAGGGGCCGCGCCCGATTGGCTCAAACATACACAACGATCTTCGATGGTTTTTCTAAACTGAAATCTTCAGATCTGAATGTGTGTCGTTGCGGGCGACAGTCTTCTCGCTTTTCATAAATTATCGGACCTATTGAAAATCACATAGTGTGAAACTATTGCTATCAAGTTCTTTTTTGCTTGATGAAATTGTGCTATGTATACCCAGTTCTTTAACTGAAAGGATTCCATCATTATTAATAGCAATCAAGCAAGTCCTTGCTCAGAAAGAACTTATAAATTTGAATCAGACAAATGAAGAGTATTCAAGAATTTGGCAGAATGGCTCCTATTTTGTAAGGCCATAAGGTAATTTTTTTGCACTTTTTCCTTCTCTGACCTCTCTCCTTCTCTCCTTCTTGTGAGTGTACAAATTCCCGCATGGTCTTGTACAGAAAAGGGCAGGCTTATGGACTGATATCATTTTCAGAATCAAGAACTTGAGTTGTCGCAATACGAAAGCGATCCAGCAACGACATTCTTTTTCAATTTTTTTCTATACTTTTCAAAAATTTGGTCGTTTCCCTTGTATACCTTTTGCATTCTAACCTCAATTTTTCCTTTTACTTTCTTAAAAATTTGTTCATCCTCCTCACTTAGTTGTTGAGATTTTTTTCATCAATTTTTGGGAGTACCAGGGCTAACACAAGGACAAATCAGGGTTCAAGCTCTTTACTAACGCAAGTTAGAAGTTTCAAGAAAATATAGAAACTTTTAAGAAATTGAAACTTGAGTTTTTAATGGACATGTACGTATGGAAAATATAAAACAAACCCTCCGAGTAATCTATTAGGGGAAACAACAGAAGCTATGAAATTTTTTTCACCCTGGTATGACAGACCTGTTGTCCCACCCTAACCATTACTGGAGGCACCCTTCGGATTGTCCCAGTAGAAGTTTTCGGAGAGTTGAAGAATCCCATTCTCGATTTCGAATCTCCCCCCGTACAGGAAAGTCCAGTGCGGCCATTAAGCGCGTCAGCATGAAGCGGTCAAGCGCGCTTCAATGCGCTCCCGCTGCGATGCAACCGATCGGCGCTTCGGGCGGCTACGAAAAAGCGAACACCGGCTGCCCTTTGCCACGTCTAATTGGCAACGTGTTGGCACAAAGCGGCCAAACGTGCCTCGAATAACGAGCCTCAATTTATTTGTGCGAAAAACCGAAGCAGAGAGGTGATCGCCAGCGCCCGAAGCAGGTATTCACGCAACGCTTCTAATGACCTCCGCTTGCAAAGAAAACTATTGCTTGATCACTTTTTGACTGAGAGCTTTACTGGTTTCTTTACAAAAGCTTTCAAAACAAATTTATATAAGTTGGAAGGATAAATGTTCTTCCAGAGACTTTATATGAAAGAATAGTTTCGTCAGATTCCAAAATGCTTAGATGAATTTGAGTATCATTCATTTTATGACTAGGAGACACGAAACCGCATTGCACACATGGTCTAAACAAGCCTAACCGTGTAATTAGCAGATTTATATTTGTTATTAATCTCATCCAGGTTTATTCACTTTTTGGAAACAGGGAAGAACAAACTCAAACTTGTTAAGACAATGTCCGCAAGGCGTTCTCGCGTCTCCTGGTCATAGAATAGATGATAATTAGTTAAACGATTTGAACGAGCAACCTTTATGGCGTCTACACTAGGTATATTTCACAAATGAAGAAATTATCAAATTTTCATGGCTTCATAGGATTTTGACATAATCACTCTCAGCAGTAAATAGCGAAGCTATAGATTACTATGATTAGAATACCACTTAGTACGAATGGGAATGTATATACTGGAAATTATCATCCTATTATTTTGCCAACATTACTTCTTCTTGGTGCGTCGCTTACCTTTTTGAATGAACATAGTAATATCGCAAAAGAATTATGATAAGAAGTGGTAAACATTAACAGCTGGAAACGACAAGCTAAAGAACCGAAACTCTAGGTGTCCGAAAATCAATTGGCCACATACAATTTTTATGTTTTTGTTAGCTAGTCTGATTGGATAAATAATTCCCTAACTTTTTTGCATTCACATTTTTTGATCGACTCACTTACAACAGGTAATCCTCATTTTTGTAATAAATAATCGTTTGCTACTCTCAAGATCCTTGCTTTACGACGAAAAAATTAACACTCAGATGGAGAAAGCGGAGCATTATGGAAAACATCGACTGAGGATAATGCTGAGATTATTCTAGATGTTCAGATCGCTTCCTTGCATTTGAGAAAAAAATTTGAGATTTCTCCTCAGAGCGGCTATCACAAATTTATTGAAACTTGTCCCGAACCTGAAAACTTAGAATATGTACTTTCTGCTTGTCAGTTGACCCCTTAGCGCAACCGGATCCCTCTTGCTGGGGTAAGGAAGCTCGATTTCATGGCGCATCGTTGTGCTGTTTAGTTTCAGTAACGTATTCGCTGTCACTAAGAGCATTTGACCTATAGCCGCAGGCAAAGGGGGGGGGGGGGGAGCATTGATCCAGGACCAGCCGCACACCGATGTTCTACCTCGCTACGCTTCGCCGCGAACAGCGCCAGCACTCGTAAAGTTTTCCTGTCCCCCCCCCCCCCTCCCCCCACCCCCGAGATGAAACCCGTCCAACTTCACCGATGCGGCTTCGTCCACTTTTTCGATGGTCCACACGACTTTGTTTGCCCTACTGGTTATAGCTAAATTTAGCCGTTACTGGCTTAGATTTCCCTAGGTTTCCAGGGGCAATGTGGGTAGGTGGAAGTAGGCGGCTGTACCCTACCTCCCTTGATATCAATTAGCAAGTGTGCGGTCGTTAATTGGCGTTGGGTTATGTGTCATGCGCCATGTCGGCTGTCTAGTTATTAGTACTAGAGCCGACTTCATCTGTTCTCAGCCATAAACTCTAGTAAAATTTCCTGTCTGCATACTCCACAAGACCAAGTCTGAATTCATAACAAATCAAAAAAATAATATATTCGATTTGGAAGAAATATTTGTGAAAAGTAAGAACCTAGCCCGTTTGAACGAAAAGACGAAAAATGCAACCATCTGTAAATTTTAAAAATTTCAGAAAACTTGTACTGGACTTGATAGTTAACTTAAATATTCCAGAACTATACACTTGTATGCTATACCTATTCATATATGAGCATAGCTTACAAACCAATATAATAATTCATCAAAAAACGCACATTGTGGTTGTTTTCTTTATCACATAAGTTGATTTGCAATGTATTTAAAATTCCTAACAATCTGAAAAGTTATTGAAGGCATCTTAAGTCTACCCGCTCACATAAAAATAACTTTACCGTGCATCGCGCTTTCAGGTCCTTTTTAACTATGCGTTCAGGTAAATTTTTTCATGATAAAAAGATTTTTAATTGTACTTTTGTGAGGTGTGGTTAAATAACAATATACGTCACCTGTCCATAATCTAGCCATTCATATCTTTGGAAGATGGAAGGAAGGATACGGGGGAGGGATGGTCGATGTCATAATGAAAAAAAAGTCGAACAAAACTTCAAAAAAAGTATATTATAAAAACAGATAGAAAAAACATCATTAGCATTCCAATAAAACAGATGCGTACACAAAAGTACTTAGTTGAATGAAAGATGTTACACTATTAAATGGACAATTCTAACAATTTGCAATATCGATAGGGTAATCATGAATTATGTGGAATTTTTATGGATTCTCCATGGCGCAATGCCACTGATGAACATTTTATCAAATAAGCTGGCTACGCTGATTTTCTGGGCGTTTATCAAAAATCTCGTCGCTTATTGAAATGATATTCTTTGTCTAAACTGTATTCGGCCTCTTCTTTCCTGATTTTCTCAAGAATTCCACACTGCAGTTGGCTGTCACCAGTCAAGGCATTAGTTAAACCATGGTCCAGGCCCTTCAGAGGCCATATCCATAGCCTTCCACCCTCCATTTTCAAACCTTGCGGTTCTCTTATGTTCGCCTCCGGAGAGCGCACCGTCCTTGCCATTTTCAGTGACCTTAAATTGAGTATTGAAATGTTAGGCCGGTTCGTCTGATCAATTAACGCGACCTCTCACAAAGAGAGGACCTCCCCGCTCCACACCATGGGTCATCCTCGGGTCATCCACGGTGATCTAGATTCCGTCCGTAGTGTCGCGTGCGACCTTCAATCTCTTATTCCGCCGTGACCCCACCCGCGCTCCAGCCAACCGACTGTACCCGCTAGAAGAACGAAGAAGAGCACTATTGCAATGTGTGTGGCCTATGAGGCTCTCTTATGAACCTTGACCTCGTAAATTGGGGTTCCAGCCTTGTAGTTTTTTGTGGAGCCAGTAATTTGTCGCACTTCTCATCCACTACCTTCGATACCTCTGCGAAATCATGCTGAAAATCTTTTCTTTTTTCACCGATTCCGAGCATTTTACCTTCTCCTCATGTTTCCAGCTAATCGCTTTAATCTCCTGCTCCCCTTTTCACTCCACTGCTACCATAAAATCCAAGAATATCCAAAATTTTCAGGCTGCTGCCGCTCGCAATCACTTACTTCAGGGCCACGGTGGTGTGCCGACCGTGATGCCAAATTTATTGCAACACATATCCGCTCTACGGAATGCTCAGGTTTGTTTGTGTGCCGCTAGATTTAGTGGGAATAATTATTGTTTACGTAATATTGTTTCCCGCTAGTAATTGCTGTTTACACATAGTGTATCATTCTCCCGAGAAATTCTTCGTTCTAGATGGAATTTTTACCAATTTTGCACTTACTGCGGTACTAATTTTGCTTTTGCACATCAAATATTCTCAAACGTCTCTATATTTTTATATATTTAATCATTTTAGTGTGGTCTCAAGGGGCGCCACAAACGTCTCAGTCACCTCAATAATAAATAATTAAGAATTGGAACACATAAAAACGAAAAAAATCCTCATTTGTACGAATACATTTTGAAAATATTGTTTTTTAAGTCCATATGAAGGCCCAAGTTGGATTCAGAAATGGTTGATTTTTCTGAGACATGAATTAGGGTGATGCAAAACTTATGAAGCTTCGTTATTTTGCCAGTCTAGAGGTTCGATAAAGCAAAGCAGACTCTACAAGTTATCTTCACAAAAATCGCAAGGGATCTGATCTGGAATTTTGATTTAGAAATAATCGGAAAAATTTCAATACCTAAAAATCAGGACTCCGTTGAAAAAATCCTTCAAAAACCTTAGCTTAATCATGCATATACTAACAACATCAAACATCCATATGTACATCTGCCATATATTTTTCTCGATGCAAATCAAAAGATGAAATAGAGAAAACATGCAAAGGTGCACCTTTGGGTTTTTTAGTGAATTTGATACTTCTCGACAACTAGCGCTTAGAAGGAGTGAAATGTTTTGTTATACTTCTGTTGTAGTAGAGAATTACTTATGTCGCGACATTCCAGCATTCTTAGAGCATGCTAATTTCATTTCCTCAGCTTCTATTTGTGGAAAAAATATAGCAAGTGTACATATGAATAGCTAACGAGATACGTAGCTTTTTTTGGAGCAAACTGGAAGTGCGTAGATTGGACAAAAACCCGATTTTAGTGATTTGAGATATTATATTTTTCCCAGACTTCCCGTTTACCATTTTTGCGACCGTTCTAAACCATCCTGTAGAGATGCTTTGCTCCGTCGAATGATATGTTTTATAAGTTTTTTAGATCTCCTTTACTGCGTCAGGATAAGAAACGCTCATTATTTTGCCTCAGTCTAGTAGGATATATTAAGATTGAAAATTGTTATTTAAGCTCGAATCGATGCCTTATCTGGTAAAAACACTGACAACCATCAAGTACCGTTTCTTCTCTACTGGCTGTAGATCAAAGCATACTGTAGTCACGTCAAAATGATTGCAACCTGTACCGGTTAATTTTAGATCCAAAATGAGCCACTATTTTATAAAAACTTCTGCAAAAGCTAGCGCCTTATTTGAACTCTATTTAGTCTATTAATACTTCATTTTATTTATTAACTTCACTTTATTTATTAATTCTTCTATTCAGTTTCTTGGCTGAAGATTTTGTAAGCCAAACTTGTTATTTCTTTTTAATACATACTAATCCCATCGCTTTCTCTCTCAATTGCATCACTGTTGACATCATCAGTCTAACTAGAAATTGGAGCGAAATAATTTGTATCGACTGTCCTTCACGACAGACCCGGAGACCCAAAAGCTGGACACAAGCTGTGTTTGAAAGAATGCAGTAAGTACCTTGTAAGAAATTTAGTTTGTTAGTTCTTTAGAAATGCGATCATCAATCCTTTAATAGTCAAAGATCGCTACCTCAGTTGCGTACATTTTTTGTTCTAATTTTCTTGTAAAACCAACTGACCTTTCTGCTTCATATGTTCCGATAAATCAATTGGTAACACTTTTTCTCTCATGACCTGCATATTTATTTCGCAAAAGTAGTACACGACCAAGAACAATTCAGTCTTTTAAGAAAAATTCATGCGCCTTGATAGCAGGTCGCCCTAGATCGTTTTTTGAAAACGATCACAAATCTCGCAGCAAGCAGTGATTCGCGATATAGACAACATTTAGTGTAGTTCACCTTTTTACCAATCCAGAAGCATCACCCTTATCAAACGTTTACGTAATACCAAACTTTTTGTACATTTTTGATATTCAGTACCGCTTTTTGTTTGGATTGTCTAAGATTGCTAGTCGCGAGATAGAGCAAATCCGAATTCTTTTCTTCTTAAAATAGAGGTGCATAAATTTCATGAAATCACTAGCACTCGGAAGATCGTTGTGAAACGATTTTCACCAAAGAAATATTTTTAAAAATTGAATGGTATATTCGAACACTTTCGAATACAAACATATAATATACAAACCTTAAGTGCGTCAATTTTCATTTTGAATGATTGAATTAGGACTCTAATTTGAAGTTACAAGGTAAATGCTGAAGCATTCGAGTGCAAAATCCTTGATGGATTTCCTATTACCAAAGCGAGAAATAAAAATTTACTACTTGGCAAAGAAATCCGCGAAATTTAGTTACATCTGGGCTTAAATGTTGCGATCACATCTGAAGATTAGTAATGATATGGAAAAAAGCGAATCCTGATTGTTCATCAGTCTCCGTTCACGAAAATTGAATGATTCGAAAATTAAATGAAAAAACTGAGTGAATTTTCATGAAAAACAAAAAAAAATTTTTTTTGGAATTTCCGAATAGAATAGATAGCGAAATTGCAACTTTCTTGAACCTTTACATAAAGTGAGAAGTGAAAGTCTTTATGCTATTCAAAAAATCTTCTTCCTAATTTTCCGGATAACATGACTTTTCTTGAAATTCTTAGGCAATTTTTGTGAATAGTTGAGGAAGTTCTCCTGAAAAATGGGAAATATTCATATTTTATCAATAAAAATGTCTTCACTTTCATGTAATGAGAAAATCAAATCATCAATTAACTACGAATTTTTCTTGATGTCAGCAATTTTTCGAACATGGGCGCCATTTTTTGCGCGAGTGCAGGAAAACGCGATAAGCTGACGTCGTTGGGCGGCCTACGTCGTACGGGCTATGGCGCTGCGTCATCGTCGCTGAAGAAGCTGGCTAAGGTCATAGCGCGGGAGATCCGCGAACTAGCCGCCGGCTTTAGCCTCGGCTATAACCGGTTTGGCGTAAGCTCGCAGGGCGATGCGCTTAGAGACCTGACATCGCACTCACCGGGGGTTGCAGCGCTGCTTTCATCTCTCGCATGTCGGCGCTTTTCGAGAAATGTTACGCAGGGGCTGAAAGGATTTGATTTTGCTTAAGTCAAGCATTTTTGGGGTGGAAAATTCATGGCGAAGAGTTGATTGTAGACAGCCGACATATGGCGCCACAAAGGTCGCGTGTGCGCTTCGAAACCAGTCCTGGCTGGCCGGCTGCCAAGTGCTATTGTCGACGTCATGGAACCGACTGTCCACATGGGGGCTCTATCCACAACTTCTAAGGTCTCAGATTTCCGTACAAAGACGGAGCAGACACCCATATCGATGCAAATCAAATGTAAAACACAACGAGCGCGGCTGGAATTGTTTTTGAACGAAACATTGAATCATCGAAAAAACGTCGGTGGCGACCTTGCATTGCCACCTGTGTGAGGTGTGGGCGACGATGAGAGGGCGTGTGCTGGAGAGACGCAGAGCCCCGGCAGACCAGCCGCGACATTTCCAAGTCTCCTATGGAGAAGGTCAAGCCAGCTGGCTGTCGAGTCGTTCCTCTGGAACTAAACGCGACGACACACAGCGCGCTGCCACTTGCGACCTACCGACCGACGTTCGACTCTGGCTGTTAAAGTGATTATTAATCTATTACGTGGCTTTCGCAGCTCATCTGTCTGGGTATTTCTAAACCCATTGGAAGACTTTGGCTGCTATCGAATCTTCCCTTCCCCCCGAAGTACTTCATTGTGGTCTCTATCAAGGGGACTTTGGACATGCAGCGCATACTGGAAGGGACGATCAAGAGGCGCGATTATCCTCAAAACTCTAGTTTAGTGTTTGCGAACTTTCAGAAGGTACCGAATGAACTGCACTGGCTTACTAATTTTTTGGGCCGTTTGCTGACTCTAACGTTTACTGGGAAATTCACCGAGATTTCTACGAATTTGCTTCTAGTTGCATTTCCATAAATTTATGAAGCTCAGCATTTTTGTTCCGAATCGACTTTAAGAACGTTGGAAAAGATACAAAGCGTCCAATGTATGCTGTTTGGTACACATCTGGCAATAAAAGTCGCGCCTCTTGATTTTACCTTACTGAAAGCCTCAATACACACTTCTCAGCGGCATAACACCAAGAGATTCAGCACTGGACTACCTTAGGATTTCCTGAAGCTTAGAAGTTGCCCGGAAGCGTACACCGTCGGATGACCCGATGGCGCTCAGCGCCGTGAGCGAGCGCCTCTTCTCATCTCAGCAGCTCCGCTCTCGTGTCCGCTCATGGCGGTGAGGTCATACGTTGTTTTGCGGGAGAGTGGCGCGCTCGCCCTCAACCCCGCCCACTAATGATTCGAACGCCGGTAATAATAACCGCTGCCAGCCGGCGCTGGATTTTCGCCAACTTGCGATGAGTGCGTCGTGTCCGCAGTGATGTTCGGCTGACCCTGAAGCCAGCCACCGGCCGAACGTTCCATGTGCGCCTGTTAATGCGCTTATTGACGTGAGAGAGAAGGAGAGCTCGTCTCTCGCCCCACACACGACACATATCTTCTTCTCTAGCAAAATTCTAAGCAGCCAAGGTGACACAACGCTACGCGTGACGAATTTGACGACGACACCGTATGGGCCTCTTCTATCAGCTCTTTTATCAGTGCCCTTGACTGACCTTCGCGTTTTGCGTCACCGTGCCCGCTCCATGGCTGCTGCACCGCTCCTCGTTCGGGTCACCAAGGAGTGTGTTCGCCGTGACAGCGCGCACATGTGTCCCTTGTCACTTAGCACTCTTGTTTCCACCTTCACCCTGGCTGTCCCCGCTCCCCCTGACGACATATACGGGGGAAACGTTTGTAACCTCATCTGTAGAGTGCTCTTCACCTTCGCCGTCGCCCCGCACATCGATTGCATGGCCTTTGACCTTCTCGGACTGCCCTCACATTTCCCTCTCTCCCTCACTTCCTCACTTGCCCTCACGTCTATGCTTTCAACCTTCTCGCATTTCCAGCATACCACGGTGTTCCCGCATTGCTCGAACGATTTGCCAGGCCAATTTGCTCAAACTAGAAGACCAATTCCAATCAAAAATCAATTCATTTCATCACGTGCTTCGTGTTATTCATTATTCACCAAAATTTTCTGTTATTTCATTTTTAGTGATCTCTCAAACATGGAGAAAAATAATGACGAATAAATTCAAATCCGTTTATCCTTCTAAATCTCCATCTCCTTAGATATAAGCGAAGATTTTGCATCTCATAGATCACAACAAGTTATCTCCTATATATTACTATGTATTTTCTATGACGCTTGTTAGAAGATCATGACCATACAAGCGTAAAGTCTGACGCAAAAAGAGATGTCATTAGAAGTTACTATAATTGTGCTTATTTGTTGGGTTCAAAGGAAATATTTCTAAATTTATCCTAGCTGCCTATGATAATGAGTACATCTCTGAGTGAATTTCAAACTTTTGTTTTTATTTTTTTGTACCTAACTGGCCAATTCCTCAGCTCGTAATCGTCAACTTTAAAGAAATAATGTGTATTCGTTTTGAAAATCATCCGAAAAAAGTTGAAGAGTGCCAAGATTCTTAAAATATGTTTTTTTTCAGTTTTCACGGATTTTTTTCTGATTTTACCCGTTTTGAAGCCATTAAAGGGTGGATTCTGACTGTGACGTCACATGTGAAGCAGTCAAGTGTTGACGAACAAGTTTTTTTTGCAGTTGGCTAATGCGGGCGTAATGTCCGGAGTGCGGGTTGGCAGTCCGCAGCGGGCCGACTCGATCGCATCCCGAGCCGTGGAAGCAGGCAGCGCCGGCGGCGAGCTGTGCGTCGTCTGCGGGGACAAGGCCAGCGGTCGGCACTATGGAGCCGTGTCGTGCGAAGGCTGTAAGGGCTTCTTCAAGCGTTCCATTAGGAAACAGGTCAGTGAACCTTCCACAAAGATTACAGAAATTTTTCACGCCAAAAATCGTAGTGAACTCATTAAAAATTCGAACTATCCATGAACCTCTCCTCTGACATCATTGCCTCAGGGCACAATATCAAGCGCTGTGTCCCTTCTCATAGTTTATCTGACCCCCTCATTGATTTTCAGATTTTCTCCCATGGGTTCTATCAACAATTCCAGATCGGGTACATGTGCCGAGGCGCTAAGGACTGTCCGGTCACGAAATTCCACCGTAATCGATGTCAGTACTGTCGGTTGAAGAAATGCCTATCGATGGGCATGCGCAGTGAGTGTAAGTACTGTATTTCGTTCACTGCGACGCGACTCGGGAAAACAAATAGTAGACGAATACCTTCTTGTGAGGTTTTTTTCGTTACCGAGCTTTAAATCCAAAAGTCGATGGTTCTGCTCAAAGATTTTGATTAAACATAGAAGGGGTCTTCCTTTTTTGAATAATACAAGCCAAAGGCGATTGTTGTTTTTCACGTCATCTAGTTGCTCTGCTCTGCTCCAATTTCTCCTCATGCCTTTGCGCTTTGGGGGTTAAACCGTATCGCCGCCCTCGCGACAGCTCCGCTGCCGTGACTATGGTAACCCCTCGGCTCCCCCATTTCGGTAAAGCCGAACACGGATCGATTTTTACGACAGCCATCTATAGCTATTCTAATTAGTAGTCTGCATGTCACGAATAACAATTATCGCCCCACCCTGCCACGCAATGCGGTGCACTGCACACACACAGACGGACGGACGGCCGGGCCGGGCCCCCGCAGCTGTGCCCCGCGAAGGCGCAAATCTGAGCTCAGGTCAACACTTCGGGGCATCCGCGTCCGTCGGCGCCCCCCGGTCGATAGTGTTGCAATCCGTGTGTGCCAATGAATTCAGTCGATTCGCTGAGATCTTTGTGTGTTTTAGCAGTCCAAGCCGAGCGACGTCCGGTCCAGCAGGTATGCGCCGACAGTCCTCCCACCATGGTGCAGAATCACTCCGCCACAATGGCGCCGGGAAATGCTTCGGTAAGTGACTGAGGGGAGAGGCGGGATGTTAAGTACAGGATGTTTTACATGAAATGTGATGCATAGAAATGCCCACAACTCTGCAGAACCCAACTCAAAAAATCAACTCTGTCTGTAGCCAAAAGCATCTTGCAGAAGATCTCATAATTCGCATGAAGACGTCCGCTAATTTTGATACAACATGATCTCCTAGGCGAATTTGTTAAATTTGCGCAATTTTTTTTGCATATCTTCCACGGATTTGCTTTATTTCAGATATTTTGGGGGAAGAATCACTTTCTAAATTGTGTGTTTATTTCAAAATTTTGGTTTTCACAAACTCTTAGATTTTTTATTCTTCCAAAAGTATCTCGAACAGAGTTCAGCACAGCTGGCACTGGTAAAGCTGGATATCGTTTTTGCAACGTTGTGTGTTTTTAAGAGTTTCTTACGTTTAGGATTTAGGGTCAAAGGGGGACTTCGCACGAAGTTCTCAAGATCAAAGGGGACTTCGTTTTGAAGTTTTCGTGGTGCTAGCTAGTGCCGAGTTCTGATCTCGAACAACATTTCCTATGTGGAAGCCTGAGCATATAGGGTTGAAAACTATGGAAGAACGCGATTTATGTCATTGCGAAGCAAAAAAAGGGCATGAAAAAACAGCTTTACTGAGAGGTAACACTTCATGTGAACTACCCTGTACATGACGATTTGCTATGGGAGCTCAATCAAATGGGTTTCTTTTTCCTTTCCTTAAGAAGAAAGGAAAATTGGCAACGATGGTTATTCGGGTGTCTTCGTATTTGGCACATGCATATTTGCGTGAGATTTGACTCTTCTTTCACTAATCGCGGAGCAGTTGAAAGAGGTTGTGAATTTTTCTCGGGGCTCAAATGGCCAAAGGTGGTCGGGATAATCACTATTTCCAGCTTTTTGGACATTAACTTATGTAAAGCATCAATACTTCATCCAGTGAAAGAGAATCATTTATTGTCTAAGGGGAGATCAAGTAGATAGGGCTAGGTTTCTACTGACGTAGCTTCTTTTCTAACATCTTTCTATACATTCGAACAAAAGTTCAACCTATACGTCTATAATTATAATGCACAAATAAGTCTTCCATATATAATAATACTTTGTGGTGCGGAGTAAAAATTTCATTGAATTTTATGATTTTGACCAACAAGCAAGTCTTGATTGAAAATCTCTGAACTAGAAGGCAGTTTTGGTTCAGAATCTGAGGACTCAAAAATGGATTTTTGGGTTTTATTACAATGACATTATTCAATTCTTCCTTTGTTAGTCAATTTGTACAACATAAGCTACTTCATAATACTTATAGTTAGATCCACCAAGTCACGTTTTCTTGCACTTTCAATGCTGCCACAAAGTAGTTCCAGCACATTTCTCGTTCATTTAAATGAGAGCTGAAGCGGAAAACGCTGGGACTTTTTTTTGCTGACCCACACAATAACTAAATTAATAGGCTGATTCAAAAGTTCTGTTGCTCATTTTGAGAAATTCGAGTCTGCTCCCTATTGAACGTAATGGCTTACAAAAATACCCCTAGATAGAAAAATTTATTTATTTCTAGCCACATCTTCGAAGCTTTGATAACAGAGGTCTCCAGAGAAAAAAACCAGAAAAGATCTACTCAAACTTCCGATTTTCGAAAATCGTCAAAAATCTGAAACGCTGCAGAAAAACCTGAAATAATGCTTTTTATACTTTTTTGACCCTTCCTAGCACTGCCAAGTTTGTGCAAATCGAGATTTTTCGTGAAACGCGAAAAATGATTTTTGCCGTTCTGTGCATTTTTCACGAAAATCATAACTTTTCGTAGGAAAGCTCGATTTGCACAAACTTTGCACTGTTAGAAAGAACAGCTCACAAAACATAAGAAACATGCTCTCAGATTTTTGTGCAGCGTTTTAGGTTTCTTGACGATTTTCTTTTCGCAAATCAGGAGTTTGAGTGGCACCCTTATTCGAATTTATATCTGTGGAGTCTTTTATCGTCAAAGAGCTGCAAGGAAATGGTTGGAAATGAATGAATTTTTCTATCTGGAAGTATTGTTTGTAAGTCAATATGTTCACATAGGGAGCAGTTACGAATTTTTCAAAATCAGTGTGACAGAACTATTGAATCAGCCTAACAATAAGATTAGATAACTGCAGCTTTTCTTCTCTTGATTCTCAATAGCAGTACACAGAATAAAAAGTGTTTCTCATAAGTAAAATACTGGGTTACGTATAAGTCTTCATCTGATCATTTTCAAGTGAGCGATAAGGTGATTTTTTATAGAACAAAATACAAGCTGAATAGTTCAGTTACTGGTTTTTATTAGCTGATATAAGAATTATTTCCTCTGACGCATGATCCGATTTTGTTTCTTCGTTGACTTGGAAATGGTCTTGAGACGTAATTAGTTTTCAACGCTGCTTTTATGACTAAGCCATCAGAAAAAGGGAATGCGCATCTCATAAAAATGGGATTCTTGGTTATCGTGAAATTTGTAACGACTTGATTGAACATTCGAGAACTACTCGAATGAACTTCCGTCCATTTCTCAAAGTCTTCATCACAGTTTGCGAGTCAGTATGAATTTTTTCGCTGATACCTTGGAAGTTCAAACAGCAAAGATACAGTAGCAAAGCTTAGAGATTCCCTAAATCCTTGTTATGGAAAAATTAAAGGCAGTGTCTCACCAAAGTTGAGGTCGCGCGGATCTTCACATATTCTATTAAAGGGACCTCTAGATAGGCCATTGCAACAAGTCCCACTCAATTTGACCCCCTCTTCGCTGAGAAAAATTCGCTCAAAGTGGTACGCGGAGAGCCAGTTGGTACGCGCGGACGACTCCTTCGGTCTCCCCCCTTACGCGTTTGAACATGTCCCTCCACTTGCCTTCCACCTCCCCTCTGTTGCTGCCACTGTGGCTGAGGCTGGAGTTGGAAGGTACAACTCGTCCACGTTGCTTCCGCGGGGCCTCCAGAAAACGGGGTTTTTGGGAACTTCGTGCGATTTTAAGCCCATACAGTGCTAGACAAGGTCCAACAGGCTTGCAAAATGCAAAAATCTTGGCAACTAAATTTTGGTGAGACACTGCCTTTAATGTAAGTCGAAAATGCTCCGACGAAACCATGACTAGTGCAGTCGCGCCATCGTTGATCTACAGATTCCAGCAACAACAAAAAAATCAGAAATTTGTGAGGAATACGCTCTTTGTTACTTAGGTGGCAGCCTCTTCGAATAATCAATGTCTAGCATAGTCAGCTTAAGTTCTATGCTTTTGTTGTCGAGATCGCTTTCAAGGTCTCCACTGAGGTCACAGCTCGGCTCAGCTGGCACCGGGTCAAGCTGGATATCGTTTTTACAAAAAGCAAAAAGTCGTTTTTGTGGCCGAAAAGACACGAAAATTGCGATAGTTTCTTTAGTCGATGTTTCGTTTCTTTTTTTTTTGAGGGTTTCGTTTAGAGTTGAGGGTCAAAGGGGACTTCGTACGAAATTTCCAAAATTAAAGGGGACTTCTTTTTGAAAGTTCCCTGTTGCCACCTCGTATCGAGCACTAGTTGAGGCTTTTGATCCTCAGAAATTAACACTGAAACTGTATGAATGTAAGTACCCGCAAATTTCATGTTTGTGGGCAACACTAGATTTCAAAGCCATGCAAGAACAATCGAGGAAAAAATATATCAGTAAATGCCGCAAGAAATAACTCAGTAGGCACTGATCATTTAAGGGAAAGGAGGACTCGGCTTTCTTTCTATGTCGAGACGTAGTACAGTTGTCTCATAGTGTTATAGGTCATCTTCTGCTGTTTTGATTTTCTCTTTTGATAAGAAAATGAAAATCAAAGACTACTTAGTAAGAGCTGCTAGTATGATAAGAAAATTCTGCGGTGATAGTCACGCTTTGGTTGGAATTCTTATTCCTGATAGTTTCTTGTTGAAACTACTGTACTAGGAAAAGAATGCTATGTACTAACGTCACCGAGATCAACAGCTCCTTCTTCTAGGCGCTGGAGACGAATCCGCTGATGAACGGTCTTCTGGCCATAGTGAAGAACGAGCACGAACAATTGGAACGGGACAAGACGACGACGGCAAAGAAGGACGACGGGGCGAGTTCGCCGATGAGTGCGATTCAGAGGCCACGCAGTGCTAGTCCATCTGGAGACTTTGGGCTCAAGAGGGTGGGAGGGCACGAGAGGCAGTACAGGGAGTAAAATTCAGTGTTATGTCCTAGGAATCCATTGGTGAGGATGAGTCTGGCATTGACGTGATGACTGTCATAGGTATGGGTCCGTCGGAATCGCCGTCATCTTCAGGAACAGCATCATCGATTAGTGAAGATGGGCCCATCTTCAACGTCGAGGTAAGTCATTAACCATCAAGCCCGTGTTTTCTCAACTAGCATGTTAATAGTAACCTCGGATAGCTCAAGATCCTTGGATAGATCAAAGAATTTTTTGAGCCATAACTAAGTTGGATTTACCTTATGATATTTTGGGTTATGACTTCAAGCATCCGCTTCGAAAATAATTTCTTTGCAAAACTAGTTTGAATTGTTGAAAAATTTCAAAAATTATTGTAATCACTTACAATAAACGAGACATCTGCACATTTTTTCAGCTCGAGTAACTTTCAAAAATTCTCATTCTCGGGGCTGATACATATGGCTATGCCGTACAAATTTATAATAGATTACTTTAGGCAATAAATAATCACAACAATTTCCTAAATTTATTTTAAACATGAGATAACTTCTTTATTTTGCTGGCACAGTGATGCAGGCTGCAATTTGGTCCCTCCCCCCATCTCTAGGTTTTTCGGTTCTAGAGAGCAAATTTTTATGTGCAGGGTCATATTTTGAGAATAGCCGCTTCTTCACAATCCATTTGTTTTTTAGAGAATTTTACTGACGGCTACTGAAGACTTCGATAATGAGATGGATATTGTCATTTCATCCATTGCAATAGCCTTGTCTTCAGTAGCCGGAGTTCAAAATGTTTGAGAAAACTCGCTGTAATGACCCCTATGCGAAATTACCGTGCACTTATCGTAACGCCAAACAACTAACGAAACAAATGCCACTTTTTGAATTTCTTTTCGCTTCAGCGTATCTCTTCCCACCATGATCCTCGAAGATATGACGAAGAAATCAAATGGAATGAAATGAGCAAAGCTGAAAATTTTTGACGTTTTTGTGACGCTAGAACTTACCAGCAGTCTTTTACATCAGCGAAGAAACTATTTCTTGCATCACGTGCAGCTAGCAAGTTTTTCATTTCTGGCTAAAAATGTAAAATTCTTCATAACTGATAAATATCAGATTCAAACACTCTCACTAAGAAGTGTTATTACCGTTTTGTTTTTACTCAAATTTCTGAACAATGCTATCCTCTTACCGCCCGAATCACCCGCGTATTTTCAGCGGTGTCGCTTTGAACTGCCAGTTCCCCACCCACCTCCCGCTGAGCTCAACATCCAGTTTATATGCGAAACGGCCAGTCGGCTGCTTTTTCTCTCAGTACACTGGATGAAGGACGTCCGAACAGGACTCAAGTGAGTGGACTGTTCACTTGATGGCGCCATGGCGCAGTGCGTGTGTGCGCCATTGCGGAATGAAGATGTGACTCCGTGATCACGTGATCGATTCCTCTAAGAAGTTCTGACCGCATGGGGCATTTTACATGGAGAGATGACTGACTGTTGAATCTTTCAGGCCATTAACATTGGAATCCGTGATGAAAACCAAATGGTGTGATTTGTTTGTGTTAGGACTTATGCAATGTGCTGAGGAAGTAGGATTGACAAGGATGCTCGAGGCGATGAATAACCATCTCGCAGCTTGCAGCAGAGTCGGTAAGAGTTTGATAATGTTGGAAATTTCTATTCTCATCGAATTTATGAGAAAATTTGGAAAGGATTTCTTGAAAAATTATGATAGGCTATTTGTAGTCATCACATACTTGATGATGTTTGTTGTCGTTGATTTGTTCTTGACCTTCGTAAGGAGTTTCCTATACATAATAAATAAATAAAATTAAACAAGTGAATATATTTGCTTGTAGGTACAAACCTTCCCAAATTCTCAGTTATAAGAAGACTGAATTCGGTTCTTTATGAAGTTATTTCTTTTGGATGTCTAGAAGCTAAAAGACGGGCAAATAAATTGTATGAAGTTTGAGAAATTTCATGCTAATAATTTTATCAAAAGTGCTCGAAGCGGATCTCTGATTACACTGAAATAAATCTAATCAGTTCCACATGAAAAGAATGTAGCTTTAGCTTCGAACTTCCGTGTTTTTTTTTTGTTTTCCTCAAACTCGCTGCGCTCATTTTTTGCAATTTTCCAACTACTCGATTTTCTCGACTGCTGTCACATTTTGAGCAAAGTTCACAATCACTTAACTTAGACAAGATCTGTGGAATCAAGCCGATGTAACTAATGAGCAGATCATTAATTTGAAAAATTGCACCTATTGAGCCACGATTCGAAGCGTTTTGCGGTCGTTCTATTTGATATTATTTCAAACATCTATTTTTGAAATTTCATGATAGCATTGCTTGCTTTCAAACTTGCATATTGCAGGACAATTAAAGTCAGAGAAATTCGAAGAGGTTAGTCAACAAATCAACTATCTTCTTCTGCTAGTCAGTCGTTTCGCGGAGGCAAAGCTCACGCCAATGGAATTCGCCTATCTGAAGCTCGTCTCGTTCACTTCAAATGGTTCGTCTCGTAGCGTCATAGTGAAGTTTTCTCACAATTTCCGTCTTTAGACATTCCCGCTTCAACTTGTGCCGCTGACACACGGCCGGTGAACGTAACCGCTTGCCAGGAGCTGTACGAGCATGTGGTGGCATCGTCATCGACGGATGATTCAACTTCCGAGGACAATGAGACACATATGACAACGTCTTCAGTAGGCGCTGCTATCGAGAGGTAGGTCTGCCAAGTAGAAAGTTTTCAGAGTAGTAAACAGTATGGCAACTAGCGTTGGTAGAATTGTTTCGGAGGAGAAATGGGGGAGAGGTAAAATTTTGTGTTAAAGTGAAGAGAGCGGCTTTGGTCATGCCTTCTCAAATGTTTGGTGCTTCCTGAATTTATAGCAAGCTCGACCCTTCCCGAAAATCCTTTACCACGCCAAAATTTTTACGAAAGAGCATTCACAATTTTCAACACTAATAAAAAATTTGTTTTATCATGAATGAACCAGCCTTTTTCTCCCGACTAGAACCGTTATTTATATGCTAACTCAAAGGTATTCAATAGACAGATTTTTGACCTTGGATTTTTCGTGATCCTGAATAACAATGTGCAAGAATTAATTTGAGCTGCGAAGTTTCTTGTGATATTACAAACGAGATGTGAATGGGAAATCATGGCAGAACGTAAGCCAGTCGTGGTGTTTACGCACGGACACATTAAGGGCCGCATGCACTAACATGGCCACGGGGAGGAGATCGCAGCTTAAAAGAAAGTTTCATATTCTGAAGCTCCAGATATCTGGATTTCACGCTGTTTATCTGTCCGTAAGTATTCCTACTATCCTTCACTATGAACATGTTGAGCAGGGGCGAGAAGCTGTACAAACCGCATTTTTCAGCTTTTGTATGATCCCTGATGATCCCCGGCGCTTTTCTTTGAAGTCATTTTTCTTTCTCCGAAGTTAACGAAAACCTTCCAAAGTTATACTGAACATCTAACACAACAGTGCTAAGCATGTTGCTGATGAGAACAAATGAATTTTTGAGAAATCGAATTTTTCGGTATACCCCAAATCTCGACCTGTGGATCATCGAAAATTTCATGACTTCAAAACATCATTTGTTCTTATCAGCAACTTGCTTAGCACTGTTGGGTTAGATAATCGCACAACTTTGGAAGTTTTCGTTAACTTCGGAGAAAGAAAAATGACTTCAAAGAAAAGCGCCGGGGATCATCAGGGATCATAAAAAAGCTGGAAAATGCGATTCGTACAGCTTCTCGTTCCTGTTCAACATGTTCAGAATGAAGGATAGTAGGAATACTTACGGAAGGTACACAATGTGAAATCCAGGTATCTGGAGTTTCGAAATATAAAGCTTTTTTTTTTGAGCTGCGATCCCCTCCCGATCACCGCGGCCATGTTAGTGCATGCGGCCCTAAGTGTTCCAACCAATTGCGCTATTCAAGTTGACCAATTAGCACTTCCTTTCAAGTTTGTTTGGGTAGTGCCTTTAACACTAGAAGTTATAATAAAAGCGAGCTCATTGTACCTTCCATGTATTCATTTATTTATTAACTTACTTACTTATTTAATTATTTATGCAATACACAAGAGTGCGCCAAAAAGCGAAAAAGCAAGGAAAAACAGAAAAAAGGGAACACCACGCCAAAAAAGAAAAAACAGCACTTGATGTTGGATCACGTTGTCACACTGTCCCTTGCTGGATGATTCAGCGCTATTATTTGGGAAAGCGAGACCTTTCGATTCAAAAATTTTCATAGCGCTATTTGGCAGTTCATTTTTGTCTTTCTCTCTTGTGAAATCCTTAATACTGACTTTATCTGCTAAACTTTTCAGGTACTCTCGTCTTCTGCAATTGCTGCCGAATCTGCGATGGTTCCGTGAATCGGTGCTAGTCGAGCTGTTCTTCTCCGGCCTGATCGGGAACCTTTCGATCGAGACGGTGATCCCGTTCGTGCTGAAGATGGACGTGATGAATGTGTTTGAGCCGTCGCAGGGCTCCGACTCGATCCTGCCGAGCGCCAGCCTGGCCAACATCCTCTGCGGCAAGTAAAACCGGTGCTCGTCAGCACTAGCCTTTCCGTTTGCCTCGCCGAGTGTACATAGTTGAGAGACTCATCATAACCATATTCGCGTCAGAGAATTGAGAATAGTTCACTAATCGTCTTGTGCTTTCGTCTTTCTTCTGTGAGAACTTATACCTGGATCATATCCGACACTAGCCTAGAGATGTGTGTTATACATATACGTTTTACATATTTATATATATTATGAATGATCGCCCGCGTGTTTCCGATATTTGGTTCCGGTGTTGATGTACTTGCATTGTTAGAACCCAGTTCGTCTTGTTCCACTAGCTAAGGGTTGACTGGCGAGTGCAGAGCTGCCAAGTCGTCGTGTTTTGCTGCTTGCTGTTCCGACACCCTTAGTCGAGCGCTTTACCGAGAGCTTTAGACAACCGGCCAGATCAACCCCCGCGCACGGCGCCGGCTCGACCGGCCCCCCGTCCGGAGCCCGGCCGCGCCCCGCCGCTGCTGTGCTCTTCATGTCTTTGCAGTCCGTATCTCCAATCATCTTGCTTTTCCAAAAAAGTACCTCTGCTCTTATTCGTATGCAATCCAACTGACCTTTCATCCCACCTGCTGCTTTCCGCATGCGCAGCAGGCCGTTGTGTGATTGGGCCCGGATGATTCTAGAAACAGGATATCAGCGTGAATTCCCTTTCCTTGAAATATATATGATGTACATTCTGTTCCAGTCATTGTAGTTTGCCGCGTAGTCTCATATCGCTAGCGTTCGTCGAGCTCATTCAGTCGAGAACTTCTAGATTGTTGCAATGCCCTTACTATGACGCTTATACTACCTAATAAAGTGATGGTTTGAGTATCAGCTCGTGCATGATAGAGATCATACACAGAATTCTTATACTGAAAAGATCCTTCCTGGAATTTAGAATTTATGCCATGTTTTATTACTGATTATGAGAAAATGGCAAATTAAAAAGGTAGAGGTAGAAGGTAGAGAATGTTTTTTCCTACACACCCTCTCGTAATGTTTAAACTTGTTGAGTGATGACCAAAGCTTTTTGGAACTTGCAACTCTAGTAAAAAGGAGTTCCGATATAGTAGGCTATGAGATGTTCAATAATGATTTGGCTGGATTCGAGAAAGGACTAGTCTTTGATTTTACTTTGAAGCTTTCCTTATGAAGCAGTAGTTGCTTGTGCCCTCCATTCTGACCAAGGGCTTGGAGACAAGCGCAGCCGAGGCCAGGGCTTAGCAAGAGGTGGCTTTTTCATTCTTTCGAAAACGAAATCCCCGTTGACTTTACAGAAAATATACGAGGTCAAGACCGTTCATGAATGAAACAAACAAAAAATAACAAACGAGAATACAAGAGAAAACAAAAGAACACGAAGCAGACGGTAAAAACAAGTAATGATGTCCGTGTTCTCGTAATCAGCGGCATACTTTGTCCACCGCGCACCATCGCGGGCCTGGAGCAGGATTGCCGCCGTCCTACAAAATTTTTCGAGGCCTGTAACTAGGCGAAGAAGAGGGGTTTTGGGGAGCTCCAAAAACTAATTTTTAGGGGTTTGGATGTAGATCAAAATTGTGTAAAGAAATTAGAAAAAGTTATCTGAATAAAAAAAAATCACGACTTTTTCTTTCTGAGGTGGCTCTCCAGATGGCTAAGCCATCTAACTCAGAAAAAAGTTTGCCAAGCTCTAATTTACATAACTTTTTCATAACTTTCATGCATAGTTCTCCTTACTGCGCATCTACACACGAATTTTGGTGTCATATCATTACGTATTCGCTGTAAACAAGCCTTTTTTATTTCTGGACACATTTTTGATTCATGCTTTTGCACAGGTCGCAGAATTGTGCTGGTTTTTGCAGAGAGTAGGATGGTAGCCCGTTAAGCATTCGACGTCTCCAGAAGATGAGAATGTGGAATAAGAGATGGGTAGAGATAATCGTGTGATGGTGGGGGGGGGGGGGAAGAAACCCGAAAGTGTATTTACATATATACATTAACAATAGCGATGGAACAAGTTTCGTTTGTAGGGATAGGGCTGTAAAAATTTGTTGGATTGATGGGCGTTAAGTTGCCTACTACTCGAAGTTCTAATACTCGGTTCATATGTCAAAATCCAGTTCAGATTACCTTGCGTGATCAGAAGGTTCCTTTATTTCCACTTCTGAGACTCCGACTTCGCATAAAGCGATTGGAGTTTTTTTCATATACACCTTAGTAAGCTAATTACATGTTTTTTTCCTGGGCCCCTCTCGGACTACGTAAAAACTATATTCCCTCTACTTTAACCCCTGAAACGATATCCAGTCTGCTTCATAAGCCACCCCAAGCCCTGGCTAGGCCAAGGTAATGAAAAATTCTGGACAAGATGCTTTTTCAGCGTTATCTCCCTGAGCTTTTGCCAGCTTGACGCATAATGACCGAAAACTCAAAAAAGATTGCCGATGGGGTATGTAACACGAAAAACGACTTTTTTTATGATTGTCTCAAAACTATGGTTCAGAACGGTGAATTAATTCTACAAGTGTAACCTCGGAGTAAATTTGAGATTCGGAGAACTCTAAACAAACCCATTGGCAGTAGGCATTCTTCAGCGACAAGCGTGGATTTCTGCCTGCATCCTTACAAGAGTAGTGTTGTTTGTAAGAAATGGAGCCTAGATTGAGGCTTTTCATGACGGACAGATAAATTTCCATTATTGTTAACATGGCATTCAGTGCATTATCTTCACTTATACGTGAGTCCAGAATACGAATAGTTTAAGGCAAATTTTGAGTCAAGAATACAGTCAGCTACCTTAATTGTTGAGATTTTAAGATCCTCGAATTGTTCTATGAAAATTTAGGAAATGTGCTCCGCTTTTGATTTCTTTCACCATGTGCCATCAACACCTTACCACGCAAATAAAGAGAGTGGAAACTATCGCACTTTTAACATTTACATCATGTCATGACGTCCTGGCTGCTTTTCGTTTGCTTCTTTCTGAAGGTCAAATTGCTAAGCACTGCTTTGATCATTTTGCCTGGAAAAAATTGATAAATCATCTGCTGAATTTCTCGCGAAATATCTCGGAAAAAGCTGAACAGAAAATTTTGAAAGTTTTGAGAGGAAACACACTTTTCATTTATTGGAAATTTTTACAGTTTACAGCAGTGACATCATTAATAATCAAATTTTCGCAAATTCGATCTATTTTCTTGAAATACCTTAGAAGCGAAAGACTATGCTTTTTTTTGAAGTTGCGTGGATCTATTCTGCAGCTTATTTGCTTTGGTCATTCAGCAGCTCAATCGCTTCAATGTTTGCTCGTTTCAAGCGGCTTTTGTTCATAGCTGTTTGTTTTGTTGAATCACCTCAGCATAGCGAAAATTTACAGCTTTCATGCGGATCACTACATACCATGTTTCCAAATGAAGGAAGATCGTCTATTACTACTAGGAAAGCTGGAATGGTCAAATATTCTTTGCAAAAAACAAAAGGAAGATGTTGTATCAATTGTAAATATGTATTACGCTCCCAGGGTATGCTTAATAATTTGGCGAACTGCAGTGAATAACTCCAAGGAGATGAACACGTTCTTCTATCTCGTTCTTCATCTACCTAGCTCAAGGTACTGGAAACCTAGCATTATTTTGGTGGAACATTTGAAAACCGCCACGCAACGTCCTCAGCATTTTTCTGACAAAAATGTTAATATCAGCAGGCTCGAGCCAATTTTTTTTTGTTAGGTTGATGCATTATTCGGTACTTTTCCATTATCCGGACCTATTTTTCAAACAAGGATATTCTTTTTTGCTTGTACCAAAAATGGTAAACGCTTGACGTCGAGGGTTAGCTCCTGCCACGGTAAGAAAAATCGACATGTCATCTACATGTTAAACAGGTTTTACTAAGTAAGAGTCTGCCCTATTCATTAAGCCATTGACGACGACGCCTAATTTCACGCGACTTTGCACAACACTTTCGGCTTGGAAAAATTTTGTGATTATTTACAAAATGTAATGTTGCTTTTTAAAGAGCTGCAATCATCTTCTTAGACGACGAAGTCAACAGGTCCCAAAAGTGCAAAAAACTGGGAAAAATCGTGTACTTTGGAGAAGTTACTAGACCAGGATAGGATATGATTTTGCAAGGGATGTGGGCCACCGGTGGTCCACATCGTCGTCAATGGGTTAATGGTAAGTTTCTGTTTCTTACTCAAAAATGACCCCATTTTTAGTCAGCAGTTCCTCAAATGAGCTTGAACTATGCAAATAGATAGTATTCTGTGTCCAATAAACACATTAGGTTTTCCTAAAACAAAGAAGTGGGCTACTGTTCTATCATCTAAACGATGATACAATCGGCGGCCAGGTACTTCATGCTCATTCATATTCTTTCCCGGCTAAATTTGCATGGCGGAAACAATGTGAAGGGCAGAACTTCTTTAATCCATTGATGAAAGCTACCAAGATGTTTTAGTAAACGTTCAAAACTTTTTACTTATATAAGGATCCGAACAGCTTTTGATTTATTTCATATGCTCTCCTAACTCACCGGACATTCTTCGAAAAAACATCAAATTGGCTCCAAACGTGTTAATTCTCATCTTGAAACTGGGCAAGGGGACAGTGTCTACAAGAAGAAGGAAAAACCTCTAGGCTGAAGGTGTTTCATGGGACCAATTTAAAAAAATGGGTCCGGATAACGGAAAACTACCCATAATTCTTGTACTTCAACCTTTGAAATTTTGTTACTTCCCCATTTTCAACGAAATCTTTTGAAATGATATAAAATAAAAAAAGAAGACTTTGCACTCTCTGCTGGTGCTTCAGTCAAAATTTTTTGAGCGCATGGCAACGCTATAAGCTGATTAAGAGAGATACTCAAAAAGTGGTTTTTCGATTTTCAATCACTGAATTTGCTAAAAACGTCTTCTAAGATCTAAATCTATTTTTGGTGTAGGTTTTATGATACTCTTTCTGACTAAGAGAATTTTATAGTGATTGGACGTCTCTGCGAATAGTTACAAGTTTTGGTTTTGCCGAATTGACTTATTGAGTTTGTTTGTGATTTTCAACTGTACTATTAGGTCGTTCCAAAAGTAATGTCGCTTTTTTCGAATGAACGCCACTATTCGTAGAATCAACGTTCTCAAGAGAACTTAGAAGCATTCGATGCAGCATTTCATCCTCTTTCTAATGGTTTTAATACGCTGCGTAATGTATAATGAGCTCTCGAAAAATTACCAAAATCTGCGACTCATGCTTTTTGCCATGGTCAAGTTCGGCTATTTTTCTAAATTTTTGTATATAATCTCCGAAAAAGTACAAGTGGCAGGTAGATAGAGCAAACAGTATAGAACACAGAGTAATTTTATCTTTTCCTTAGCTTGCTTCTCAGAGTTTCTACAATCAACTTCTCAATGCCATCAAATTCCATATTTAGTCAAGTCAAACCTCACAGAACAACAACTGGCAAGAGACTCGGGTGTCATTCGATGCAGCTTTTTCACCTCCTTCTAACGGTCGTTTTTTGTTTCTGATTCATCAAGTTTTCCGGGATAAAATCATCATAATTCAACTTTTCCAAGGCACCCCAAGGTGTACCCGAAATCTTCGAAAGTTGCTAAACCGAAGCGGGAATGCTTGTTTGGTTTGCAAATTGTTGCCAAACCATAATCCATCTTTGTAAGTTTCAAAATCCGGAGACCGGTTGGCTTTTGATGCACTTGTGTTTGAGACGAGCCTGCTAAAATTCGGTGGTTCCATCAAAAAATCTGTACAAAAATTATGACGAACTCTGGAAAGTGGAAAAAAGTTGTGCTATTTCCTGTAGGGCTTGCTCCATCCATCCATTACCTGGAC